ACAGACCTGGGAGACACATGAATAGAAGTGCTGCATGGCCAGCGGAAAAGGGCGGACACCAGCATTGACAGACCTGGGAGACAAATTAATAGAAATGCTACATGGCCACTGAAATTGGGCGGACGCCATCAGTGACACAAAGGGCGGACACATGTTAAGAAAGAATTGAGCACCCCTAACAGCGAACTGTTTGGGGAAAATCCGATTGTGTGTTGCGGATCCATAGATAAAGTCCAGAACTTGCGGCACGACTCTGTTGCCCGGTCCCCATTCTTGGCTCACACAATGGGGGCAGCTTGAGTTTAGTCATTGTACACAAACACCTGTACTGTACTTATTTGGACAGTCTCAAAATTTTTGTTGTCTAAGTTGCAAGTAAACTTATCAATATCTATCAGCGTGATTGTGACCCTTTTCTGTTTCAATGGTGGCAAAACAATGTCAATGATTTCAATGAGACATGTGGCATGAAAGAATAGGTGCTGACTTGATGAAGGCACTGCATGCACACATGTTGATTTAATCATTCAACTGTCTAAAAAGTAAAATTTTCGGAAGAATCATACACACAAGCAAATAGACCTGATGAATTCGTGCAACACACTGTTACAAATTAATGAGTCACACTGAAGTCGAAACTTCTTTTGAAGACCTGTTAGCATTCAACCAAAGAGTTCACATTGATTGGAGTCAGTGCCAATCCAAATTACAAAACACAAGATAATGTCAACCGAGGATCGATTTGCAGATGTAACGTCCTCATACTCATAGCCCGACCCGTACACGACCAGCTTGATGCCCGACAACTTGCAGATTCCTTTTTCAACGCCCGTCTTCAACTTCTGTGGGTCCATCACATTGTCCAACTTATAGTCCGTCTTTCCTCTTCCAAGATGGCCTTGCTCTCCCATAGCAGCAGTGCAGCGTGTTCAGTCCAGCGTGTTCGGCAATCAAATCGTTCCAGGTGAAAGTCTGTGAAGGTTTGTTGCTGTTGATCTCAGCATATTTTAACACGTGGGGCTTCTTCAAGTCGACATATTCCAATTAACCTAACTGCCTTTTGCAACCGTGTGTTATGTGTTTCAGGGCATCATCGTCTTCTGGGAGTGTGTGTGTGGGGGTGCCTTCTGACTGAGCTGGCCTCCTGACTGAGCACATCCGTCTGCAAACATGAAGGTTTCAATGAACAAGCGCTGATTGACCCTCACATGTGAATGAACCTTTAGCTTTGTAATATCATCAATGCAACCTGCCTGAAATGAGGTTGTCACTGCCTGTTGCAAACTAGCAGCCGTTAAAGAAACAACTTCTGCCCAGCTGCCCTCCTGTACTACCCTCAAATGATCACCCAAGTGCGCCTTCATTGATTGGTCCAGCTCAAGAGCTGCCAGGGTCTGGCCTCAATTCAGTTGACCCAAGGAGAAGAACACGTTTAGTTGCAATCACACTCCAAGTGTATTTTGAAAGGAAAACTGAGCCAGTCCAAAAGTATGGTCCATTGACAAGTGTGCCAGAATAAGTAGGCACCTGAGTGGATAAAATGTTGCAAAACTTTACTTTAGATTGCTCTGTCTGACTCACTGATTTGCTCCTGAGGTCCCGTGACTCAGCGCCTGCCCCAATTTGGAACCTCATTCGGAATCCTGCGACGCGTTGGGCGCAAAATTCAATTCTCAAGGGGCCAGTCTAAGTCAAGACTTGAATGACTTGTGAATGTGGGATTTTGATGACAGTCACAAACCATTCAATGAACCAAAACAGGAATGGCAGCCTTGCCGGTGAAGTTGGTGGCGCGCTACAACCTGCCAAAGGCGCGGCTTGTTGTGGCACTGAGAGCACTACAGCATGCGCACGGAGCAGCCCAAGGAAACTCAACTTCTAAGACACAGATCGAGGAGGCCAACAACGTTCTCATGGTCTTCGGCGCACTAATGCTGCTTTTGGGAATGGCCTTGATCAAGATCCTGGAGAGAGTTCGAAGAGCTAGCTCTACGGGCAGAAGTTCCAAGTCCATCGACTATGAGAGTGAACTGAAGGAGGGAGGCTTCAAGGGAGAGTTCTACCCCGATGTCATCGACTTCGCCGCTGAGGATTTCGAGGGTGGCAGTGGATGGCCAACGTGAAGAGGGAAGGCATTCCGCATCGTCATCAATGGTGCCACATAGAACCTCAACGGTGAGTGCGGAACGACGAGGGACGGAAGGAGAAGCTGAACCACATGAAGAACCACCAGTGGAGTCGACGGCACAGCCGCAAGCCATCCAGGTTCAGACGAGAAGGAGAAGGGCGCCTCAGATTTATGTGCTGTGGCAGGCGTGGTTCGCTCCTTCGAGTGTCTGCTACCACAAGAAGAGGTCATGCAGATGCCTGGGCAATGCTGGGAGAATCCAAGGCATAGAGCTGTGCCGAAGTTGTCAATTCAACACCCAGGGACAACAAAGCTATGATGAGACCTCGGTGCTCTACATCGATGAAGTTGACCGCATCCATACTGATGTGAGGTGCGGAGCGGTCGTTGGTGGCATGCTGGAGAAGAGGGCATGCAAACTTTGTGGCGAAACGGCTTGGGCCGATCATTACGGCCATTGGTGCGGTGTCAAGGAGGAGTGCGCAAACAGGCTGCACAAAACGAGAAGTGTACACTTTGAATGCGGCGGGATAGCCGTTTTCGAATC